TTAGCCACAATTAATTGAATTAAAATTAGACTTAAGCCGGACTGTTCGATAATAAAGGCGATTATATCATAGTCATTAATTGACTAGATACTTTAGCCAATATTGTCGGATTTAGGTTTTAACACCACGAATATTTAAGTCAAACCAAGCGTTTAAAGGGCTTAATCTTTTAATTGAGCATTTTATTTTGCCAAAAATGATGACGTGAATGCATTTATCAACAACTTTAATCAGTAATTGGAGTAAGAAGAAGAAATATGTAATGAAATGCTAGAAATTAAATGGGCAGAGTTTCGTTATTAACCTGATTTAATTCGGCGGCCGTTCTTTAGCTTCAGCTTGAAATTCCCCATTAAAAGCTACTCGTTTGGTTTGAATATTAAATTAAGATAATTAATTTCAAATTTAAGGTGACCAAAAGTAATCAACAACAAATAAGAAATAAAACAGTCCCTATACTAAATGCAGAAAAGCAGTAAAAACGCAAGGAGCGTAGGGAAGAAGGAGCTGTCCGTCCAACAACAGACTGAGTCAAGTAAAAACTGACGAACCAGGGCTGTATTTATAGGAAAACCCTGCTTGGAGGGCGGGCCCGCTGCCGCCTTCCGGCGGCCAGCAACCTTGGCCCGGCGCAGCCGCCGCCGTTGGCCGGCGACTTGCTAAGTTTTTTTTTCCGTTCCGGAGGCCTTTTTCCGGGATTCCGGACTCTGAAAAAATATCGCGGGACCAGTTCGCGACCTCCGTAATTTTTCCACGGGACGTTTCAATACCATAATTGGCATACTTTCGGTGGAACTTTCCGAATGGCCTCGGGTTTCGCCGGGACTGTTTGCAGTTCGGGAAAACTGGCTTTTGCAAAATTTGAGTATTCACAGTGACGGAACTATTCATATTCACGATTTCATTTTATTTTTAATATTCTATTTTTAATTGTGGATCTAAAATATGCGGTTGATGGATCTAGAGTTTCAAGAACAGTTAGGTCACGCGACTATTAGATCCGTCACGCAACTGTTCTTTCAAAGAACAGCTATGTGACGCGACTGTTCTAGGGTTTCAGAAATGATTTTTGTCCTTTTTTAAAATAATAAATTTTGTACACAATAAAATTTAATTTTTCCAATAAATCCGAAAAATAACCAATTATGAACATATTACTGTTTAATTAGGTTTAGAATATTAGATAATAATTATGCATGATTTTGGGTTTTTGGGTTCCAATTTTTATTCGGGTATAATGTATTTTTAGGTTCGGTTTGTGGCCCGCCTTGCCTTTAACCATAGGCAATAGCGCGGTCTCTCCATTTATTTGATTCTAACTGCTTTGAGTTTGGCGATGATTTGGATTGAGTATGAAGTGAATAATTAGATTTCTGATTGGACGATTAAATAATTTTCCAGTATAAGAACTCGATTCTAGATTTCATCGCGGTTGGGTTCAAATAAACTTAAATTGGCTTTCCTAACTAAAATAAATTAGAAACTTGTACGGTTAAACAGAGGCCATTTTATCCCTGGCGTCGGCGCTTCCAACGGGCGCACGTACCCAACTTCCTTACCCAGAATCGCATTGGTAGCCCTGGACCAGTCTTTTAAATAATCTTGCCGTTTTGAACAAAAATTGAGTTAAAACTGGAGTCATCTTTGTAAAATAAAATTGAACAACTGGTCCCTATTGCCGAAATAATGGGTTTTGGCGACTCAAAAATGTTATAAGACCGATTTCATCGGCTATCGTACTCCAAAATGTCTATAGACCGATTCATCGGCATCGTATCCAAAATGTTTTGTCACCACTGTTCAAAATAAAAATCACTTTTCCATCAAAAATCAAAGGTGATAGTTTTTCGGATCGCTTGGGGGCAGTGCGAAAACACAAAGCAATAATAAAATTTATCAATTTCATAAATTGTCCTTTTTTTGTTTACAATCAGGAAGTATGATCATGTTCAAGCCGTGGATTTATCAATCACATATGGCTGGCTTTAGGTTTATTTTTGAGCTAGGTGAGGGCAATTTTACTTGAGCCATATCAGGTTTTTTTTTATCATTATATGAACCCGCTTATGGTTGAAGCATTGGCTATCCGAACATGTCTTTCATGGCTGCAAGATCATTTTATTTCTCCAGCGTGTATTTATACTGATTGTCAAAAATTACTTTATACTTCTTGTTTAGATATTTCCAATTTTAGATCAGTTATTAATGACTTGGGATTTTGTTATGGTATAGGCCTGATGTGGCTATCCGATGGATTAGGAAACAAGCTAACATAGGGCTTATACCTTAGTCAAAGTTTGCTATTTTTATGCTTGATTCCAAGTGCGAGATTCTATACCACATTGTTTACTTCACCTTTACGAGTAATGCAAGCTTGTTTTGTTTGCCTTCAAAAAAAAAAAAAAAAAAAATCATGTTCAGGGCGTGGAATATAAAAATTTTTTGTCCTCCAAACAAAGTGCGGTTCCCGGGAAATCAAACTTATATTCTCACTCCCACGGAGTTTAAGCTACTTATCATCCCAACCAACAACTTATCAACAAATCATAATTTAGTATTCATCACTCAATTTTCACCCATTCAAATCACCTTAAATACTTTTAAATAATGGAAACCATGGAGGCCAATCCCCTCCCCCCATTGCTGCACAAGATATAATGATTTGAACTCTTAATAAGAACAACATTTTAAAATTTTATAAATAAAGTTAACGATACTATATATAGTAAGATAATTTCCCAAAGTTAACAATACTTACTATATATTGATACTATATATAGTAATGGTCAGTTTGAAGCAGCTGCTCCTGATTTCTATCCTTGTGTTTATGATCGATCCTCTTATGGTGGAAGCTGATCAGTCTACACGTCAAGCTCTCTCGTGGAAACTGATTCTCTGTCAGTTTACCAACCAATGAAAAGATCAAGCTTAGATTTTTCATAATTTTGTGTCATTTTTTTGGGCCATCAATTGTTATTTAAGGAAATATTAAATGTTTCTTTGGATTCGAATTAGAAGGCAAGCCAATTTGCGTGCTTTTTTTTTTTTTTTGCAAGAGAGACGGTTTTTTTGGCTCGCCTTCAAATTTGGGATAGAGTCTCTACTTGGATTGAAGCTGCTCTGATTTCTCATTTCAATTGAATAAAATTTCTACTTTCTTATACAAAAATTTAAATAAAAAAATGAATATAAATACTCCCTTACAAAAAAGTTAATATAAATATCTTTTCAGTTTTTAATTTGGAATCTCATTATACGACCATATTTATTTATCTGTGGTCATGTTGTGGGATCCCTCCAACATGTGGGACCCACACACATTTGAAAATGAAAAAAAGAAGAAAATGAGTGGTGTTGTAGGTCCCTCCGACATGTGGGACCCACGCATATTTGAAAATGAAAAAAAAGAAGAAAATGAGTGGTATTGTAGGTCCCTCCGACACATGGGATCCACACAAGTTTGAAGAAAGAAAAAAAAAAAAGAGAAAAAAGACACATTTTTTTTGTTGTTGAAAGAAGGCTGTGCGCAGGATGCATTAATTGCCTGCAGTCGGTGGATGCGTTGATTAACGCATCCCCTTCTCCTATTTATAAGAGAAGGTTTTCCCTCAACAAATCGTATAAAAACAAAAGATTGGAAATACACAATTAAATGTAAATAATTTTAGGAAAGGGTTTCTAAAATTGGGAAAGAGAGAAAATAGTGAAGATTATAATTTTTGGGGTGTTTTTGGGAAACACTTAGAGTGCCAAGAATAACGGTAGAAAAATCAAAAGATTGGAAATTACACATTAACATGTACAATAATTTTAAGGAAAGGTGGGTTTCTTAAAAAAAAAAAAATTTTTTCGGCGACAAGCAGAGCAAAATAGTGAAGATTTATAATTTTTGGTGAGAAAATAGTGAAGATTATAATTTTTGGGGTGTTTTTGGGAAACACTTAGAGTGCCACTATTTTTGTAATCTCTTTTGTACCTACTATTCTTTTAGTAGAAGAATTGTTCGGAGTTTTGGTCCCGTGGACGTAGCCCATAACAGTTAAAGGGTGAACCACGTAAATTTTGATATCCTTATTTTTCATCTGGCATTTACGTTAATTACTTAATTTTTACTGTGGTTATTATTTCTGGTGGATTCGATCGTCAATATCCAATACGTAATTATTGGAGCATTTTTTCGCGGGCCCTACTCTACTCGGGATCAGTTAGAATAACAACAGATCAAATACACTAAGCCAATTAAAAAAGATTTTTTTTTAAAAAAAATGTTAATATTTTATGCTTTTTCAATGTGCATGTCAATAAATACTATTTTTTATAGGTAGTTCCATACAATAAATGTAGACAAGTTTTTGCTAAATCTATATTATATATAAACCAAAAATAATAATCATAAAAAATATTATTATAAAGAAGTTTTTAAAATAAAGGTTTACGTGTATGAGACAATAATTTATGTTCATTACGAGTGTGCATTTCATGGTTATAAATTGTTAAAATGAATTAAACCGCATCAAGCCAGCAGTTTCTATAGATTTATTTTTTAAAAATATCATGGTTATAAATTGTTAAAATGAATTAAACCGCATCAAGCCAGCAGTTTCTATAGATTTATTTTTTAAAAATATTTGGTTTAATTTAAAATTTAAATTTAATAAATTATTTTCAATATAAATATATTCAGTTTCTATTTAATAAAACCATTTAAAAAAATCCAACCAAATTAAATGAATAACAATTTGCCAATCAAGATGAAAAGCCGACGTTCCCTTGAAAAAGTTTGTCCAAGGATACAACAAAAACAACAGCGTTGCAAAAAATTTAAATAAATTTACATATCTAGATTTTTTTTTTTCCTATTAATTATTCAATAAACCAAACCATATTCACCGTAATGTTTAGTGTCGACAAGTACTTTTTGAAACCCTAAATAATTAACTGTTCAAAGCTCAAATCATATTTAAGGACAACTATGTAGAGTAGATTTGCCCCACCAAGCTATGGCTTCAGTATCCAAACTATTGTTCATCTTTCTCTTTTCCATCTTCACTTTATGTCCCATTTCAAGCAACAGCCAACACCCATTAGACTCTCTGAGCCCAGAAGAGCTGATCCTAATCAAAACCATTATTAACGACTCATTGTCTTCCTCAACCAACGCGTTAAATTTCCACTACGTAGGTTTAGATGAACCTGAAAAAACAGTCCTCCTTTCATGGCTATCAAAACCCACCAACCAAACCCTACCACCTCGACGAGCCCTAGCCATCACTCGAATCAATAAACAAACCCATGAATTTATCACTCGGTTAAATTTCCACTACGTAGGTTTAGATGAACCTGAAAAAACAGTCCTCCTTTCATGGCTATCAAAACCCACCAACCAAACCCTACCACCTCGACGAGCCCTAGCCATCACTCGAATCAATAAACAAACCCATGAATTTATAATCGACTTAACAAAGCGTTCGATCATATCTGAACAAGTGTATAATGGAAATGGCTACCCTACACTTGCTTTAGATGAACAAATAGAAGCAATCCAATTGCCATTAGAATATGAGCCATTTAAAGAATCAGTTAGAACGAGAGGCCTGAACTTATCTGCTGTTGTTTGTTCTACATTTACAGTAGGATGGTTTGGAAAAGTTAGGAATGCAAGGGTGGTAAAACTACAGTGTTTTCATATGGATGACACTGTTAATATGTACCTTCTTCCAATGGAAGGGATTAAAATAGTAGTTGACCTTGAGGAAATGAAAATTGTTGAGTACAGTGACAGGTTAAAGATTCCAGTTCCAAAATCTGAAGGAACAGATTATAGACTATCCAAGCAAAAGCCTCCTTTTGGTCCGCGAATGAATCGAGCAGCTATCATGCAACCTGATGGACCTGGCTTCGAGATTGATGGTCATACTATCAGGTAATTTAATTAATCTATATATAAATCATCGTCATCATAATCTAGTTCATCTTATTGGTTATGTTACGGTTATTCCATTGTCCTGGCCAGTAACTTTCCTCGGCTAGATCTTACTATTGCAATTTGCAACCATATTCTCTTTGTTACCATAAGGCAATAAATCCCTTATTGATTGAACTGATTAGAATAAACATGTCGATATGCGTCCATGACTAGAATAGATATATATATTTAAATCTTTTAGTTACCTAATTAGTGATTACCCAATTAATTATCTTGTTACTAAGAACTAGTCCCAAGTATTCATGCTAAATATTATCCATCGTTCATATTCTCAATTTCTTGAAACTGGAGTTTTTAACTAGTATTTAAATAAATACAAAAATTGCTATTTGAGGATGAAAATCCAAATTCATTCACCTGAAAGTGCATTTGTTGAGTGAAAAATTACACCTCTTAGTTCTAAAAAGAAATAATAGAAATAAATAATAAATTATTGTGATACCCTATATGTCATATAAAAAAGGTGCCGCCTCACGTTTAACAAACTTTGAAAAGACAAATGATTGGAACAATAATTTGATCTTTGTTGCTGTGATAGTGCGCTTTATCTCTCTAATACCATTCGAATTTCTAGTTAGTTAAAATTTTTTTACAATATGCTTTTCATTTTAATTAATTTTTAGAATCTTAATTATAAATAGTGTTAAGTAACAAGAAATAAAAATTCAATTTGGATTAATTTTAGATGGCTTAATTGGAATTTTCATCTATCATTTGACGCACGAGTTGGTCCAATAATATCTCTGGCATCCATTTACGATCCAGACAAAGGCAAGCATCGCAGTGTATTATACAGAGGACATATATCTGAGCTATTTGTTCCATACCAAGATCCAACAGAGGAATATTACTTCAAAACATTTTTTGATTGTGGAGAATTTGGGTTTGGTCAATCTTCAGTTTCATTAGTTCCATTAGCAGATTGCCCTAACAATGCAGTTTTCATGGATGGGTACTATGCTGGACAAGATGGCAAACCAGTTAAAGTACCAAATGTATTTTGCATTTTTGAAAGGCATTCTGGTGATATCATGTGGAGACACACTGAATTAGGCATTCCAGGAGAAGTGGTAAGCAATTGTTCTCTTTTTTTCTGTTTTTTACACATGGTATTTCTACTTTATATAGATGAGATTAACCTCGGTAATTTCACTTAACCTGAACAGTAAAGTTCACGTGAGGGATACAATCTATTGCGATGGGCCAAAAAAACACTGTAAACTACACCACCAACTTTTATTTCTTTTGGTTTTATTGAGAGGTCCGATGGACTGAAACTATACGATAAAAATAGCTCTCTCTTTAACTCACCAAATTAGTGAAAACATTTACTGTCTCCTCACATATGTGAGAAGGCTAACCACATCACACGTGATTGGCCTCTTAATTTATGGTCCAATTTTTATAACAATGAGGTATTTTACCTAATTCTTCTACATATTTATGTAGATAATAGAATCAAGTCCTGAAGTGAGTCTGGTAGTGAGGATGGTTGCCGCAATCGGAAACTATGATCATACACTTGACTGGGAATTAAAGCCTAGTGGTTCTATCCATGTCAAGGTACTTATAGTATTTAATGAAGCCAATATTAATGTTAAATATATATAGATGATAAAAAAATTAATTACATAATAACAATACTACTTGAACAGGTTGGTCTAAGTGGAATTCTAGAAGTCAAGGCAACGGCATATACACATTCAGATGAGGTAAAAGAGGAAATTTACGGTACATTCTTAGGAGAAAATATGATTGGCTTGTACCATGATCATTTCTTTACCTACCGTCTTGATCTTGACATTGATGGTGTTGAGAATTCATTGATTAAAAAGAATTTGGTAACGAAGACTGTGATGGAAAATAGTACACCAAGAAAGAGTTATTGGACAGTGGTTAGTGAAACAGCTAAAACTGAATCTGATACCTACCGTCTTGATCTTGACATTGATGGTGTTGAGAATTCATTGATTAAAAAGAATTTGGTAACGAAGACTGTGATGGAAAATAGTACACCAAGAAAGAGTTATTGGACAGTGGTTAGTGAAACAGCTAAAACTGAATCTGAAGCAAAAATTCAATTAGGCATGGAGCCTGCAGAATTAGTGATTGTGAATCCGAACAAGAAGACAAAGCCTGGGAACAGTCACGGTTACCGGTTGATACCTGACCATGCAGCTCATCCACTTCTGCTAGAAGATGATTATCCACAAGTCCGAGGGGCTTTCACTAAATATAATGTGTGGGTTACTGCATATAATAAATCGGAAAAATGGGCTGGTGGGAAGTATGTCGATCAAAGCCATGGTGAAGATACATTAGCTGTTTGGAGTTCGATGAATAGAGAGATAGAGAACAAGGACATAGTATTATGGTGTGTGTTAGGAATTCACCATCTGCCTTGCCAAGAAGACCTTCCGGTGATGCCAACATTGAGCAGCGGATTTGAACTTCGACCGACCAATTTCTTTGAAAGAAGTCTTGTGTTGAAGGTTATACCTCCTAAACCTGTAACTTCGCCTAATTGCAGTGCTAATCATGCTTAGTCGACCTGCTTTTGCTTTCAGGAAGAGCAAGTCTTTCTTTATGCTCTTTCGGATATTAATTATAAAATAGATTTAATTAAATTTTTTTTTTTTTTTTTTTTTTTTTTTTTTTGAGAGAGAGGGGGACTAAAATCCATATTCCAAAATTATGGAGAATCAAATAAATGTTTCAAAACTTACGGGTGGCTAAATTTTAAAAAAAAAATTAAAAAAAAGGAAAAGAATTTGCACTATTCTGTAAAGTAAACTTTAAAAAACTTTTGGAGCTTGAGGCTGTCTCCCTTCAAAACCTCTTGCATCCACTTGTTAATGGCAAAATAGATTATAACTTTATAAAAAATAATAATTTTTAAAATTTTTTTTGACAAATAATATTCATGAAAATAGTAGATTATAAATAATAACACTATTAAATGTCAACAACTAAATAGTAAAATATTTAATGTACACATTAACTAACTATTAATTAAATAATTTACTGAGGATAAACGTATAAGTAAATCAAACACCAAATAGTACTATTTTTTTTTTCAAAAATTGAGGGGTGTTCGCTCATAGAAATGTGCTCCATTAGTGTATAGGTCGTACAAGTAGTAAAAAGATTATCGTCCCACAGATATTGGAGAATAAAGTATTAATTTTTTAATTCGACAACTGTTAGGAAGATGGGATATGATGAAATTGATTTAAACTAAATTGCAAATTAAATTAAATAAATTCAAATTAAAAATTGGCAAGTGGAGATAAATTAAAAATTGGCAAGTGGAGATAATCAAAAGTACATTCAAGCAATTAATAGTTGAGATAATCTAGCTATGAGATTTCTATTAATTCGTGCAAGCCATGAGCAGTTGATTTATGGTGTCCAAATTCCTCTCTGGTGTCCATAATAAAAATTGGCAAGTGGAGATAATCAAAAGTACATTCAAGCAATTAATAGTTGAGATAATCTAGCTATGAGATTTCTATTAATTCGTGCAAGCCATGAGCAGTTGATTTATGGTGTCCAAATTCCTCTCTCGAATTTAAATAGACCATTAAAACCACATGACATCTACTTTTGCATCTTAATATGGTTAAAACATTATGATGCCAATTCCAAAGGAGAACTAACCTAGGGTATCTAGATTCCGCTCTTGAGCTTAAATGAAATGTTAAAATCATGTGACATCTACTTTAGTAGCATAATACGACTAAAACTCATTAAGCCGGTGTTAATTCTTTAACCTCAAAGAACTTAGCCTATCTCTAAGTTTAAAATTCTAGGCTTACAATGTGGGATCCAATCTAGCTTGTCAATTTCTCAATCTAATTAACAGATGTAAAATCATGCGAATATTGCCTAATATATTTACCAGCATTAATCTCAAACACATTAAATCAGAAATTTTAGCATTTAGGCATAAGTCAAACTATTTAAGGTTGCATTTTAAATTAATAGAAAATCTCATATAACTTGATCTGGATATTTAGCCTAACATTACTACCAATTAATCAACTAAAACAAAATGCACAAAAGGAATAAAAGGCATAAGTGACAAACTTTGGGAGTGACTGGTTGGTTGGCCTTGGTGTTCCACATCGTAGACTTTAAAAATAATCCTCTGCTCTTATTCTTCTTATGTTCTAAATTCACCAAGGCTGCCATCTCTCTTGTGGAGCTACTCTTGATTGTCTCTTCCCTTTGCTTTCTATTCTAACATGTGCGGCACTTGTTATTTCTTAGTGCCAAGGAGTCCAACTCCAAAAACTTCTCTTTGTTTCCTTTATATAGAGCTTCTTGCTTAGCTGGAATTGGTCCACTTCACCCACTTGCACAACTAGCTTTTGAAAAACTGGTCTTCACCGCTGATGTCATGCAAAAGCATTGTAAAATAAAAAAAGGGGAGCTGCATCTAAACTAAGTGCAATGTTTCTTCAAAAAATCAGATGATCTATTAGCATCTCACAGAGATTGTTGCACTAGTCCAAATTCTTCCACGTTGCTTCATCTTTTTTTTTTTTTTCTCTTTGGGCTGCATGTTTTGGGCTTCCAATTTGCTAACTTCAAGGGCCTTGTTATTTTTATTGATCAGCTTGTCCGTTTGTCCATGACTTGATCCAATTTTTTGCTTAGAACAAAGATTTTGATGTTGCTCAAGGAGGCAAGTGAATCAAAGAGAGAAAGTGATGAAATTGGAGTTCTATTTAAAGCTTAAAACCAAAGTACAACTAAAATAAATAAAAACAAATGGTAAAATTACATGCATTTTTGTTGTTATCAAAATCTCCCACACTTGAACTGTTGCTTGTCCCCAAGCAATGCAAAATATCTTTCATGTAATGAATGAAAAATTTCAACTTAATCCATACTCTCATATGAAATTCAATCATGAGGTTAATCACTCCTAGAGCTCTATCATGCTCAAAGAAGCATTCGACACACTCAACTAAGATCATGTTCCTTCTCAACAAGTTCTTATCATTACCTCAATCATGCAAGAATAAATGAACTTAGGAGAATGTAAATACGCTTTTGGAGAAAAACGTGTGCTAGATGTGTAGACAAGAGGATATATGATTGAATTTCCAAATCCTATAAGCAAATTTCCCAATGCTTTCTCTACTAATGAAGGAAAAACAACATCAAGGAATTAACAGGTCTTTTTAGGGTTGTAATCGGGTGAAAGGGATTAATTTGGTTTTATATCAAAGAAACAGTTTTGAATAAGGCTCATAGTGAGAAAATATTCTTTTGATTTTCAAAGTTGGAAAATAAGAAAGATTTAGACCGTTGCGTTTGAGAAAGCTTCATGTTCCAGCACCAATAAGTTCTTTTTGCTTTTCTTTCTTTCTTCTTTTATTTCCTCCCTTTATTTTACATATTTATTATATATTCTTTTCTCTTTTTTTTCCCTTTTTTTATTAATTTATAGGGAGATACCTAGAGAAAGAAGAAAAATGGGTATAGAGAACTTTTGTGCATACGTCCATTCTTTATCTTGAATTAAGGTATCTCATTTGCTATTTGAGATTTTTAGCTTCTTATTCTAATTTCTAGCAAATGGTCCTTTGTAGTTTCAATTCCTTTTTATTTGCTCTAACTTTCTCTTGTTAATAGCCCATCTTATGTAAGTTTTAAAGATGGTAAATACTCTCGTATAATAGCAATCAATCTTCTTAAATTTCCTACTTAAAAATCAAAGAAATAATTTCCTCAAGGTTGGTAGTCAAAAGGCTTTTTAGGTCTTGGTTCTTCATATGGGTTATTTTGAAAAAACTTGTGTTGAAATCCTTGTAATTAATACTGATTTACTTTCGTAGTTAGCTAAACTTTCTTAGTTAATTATTTTTCTATTCTAAAGAAATTCTTCTATATAAATTACCTAGTGTAGGGATTGTAGATAACAGACAATCGAAAGGAATGCAAAATTCTTTCCTTTAATTTCTTCATGGTATCAGAGCCATTACCGTGAAATTTTTTGGCAGCGATTTTAGTCTGAGATTAGTTTGAGATACACACAGCACTACTGGGAGTGGGAGTTAGTCGTCACTGCCCACCTCAGAAGGAAGAGCGATCACCAATCGGCTCTTCGTCCAAACCACGTTCCCTTCCGATCATGTGCGTGTGCACATGTGCTGCCAGAAGTTTCTGGCTGTTCTTCACACGCCGGCACATGCAGCTGTTTTCGGCGAGCTCCGTCAATGTTTCTTCTTTTAGTGGCCTCGATTTGATGTTGCAACTCTAACCTATTGGTTCATCAGCTCCAATTTTTCCTTTTTGGAATTTTTTTGGCTTATTTCCACTATTGCCGCTTGTGTTATTTTTTGGTCTGGTAGAATGAGTGACAAAAAGAAGGTAGATATAAGTTTTCACTCAGAGAGTCCTTCACTTCAGATTAGTCGAGTGAAGTTAGATGGAATAAATTACCTGGCTTGATCTTGGTCCTGTTTATTATTCATTGAAGCTAGAGCTTTGCAGGGATACCTTGATGATGGAGAGACAAAACTAGATTCAAAAGATCCGGGCTTTGACTAGTGGAAATCTGAGAATTCCTTTATTATGTCTTGGTTAATAAATTCCATGCAACCAACTATTTTTGGAGGATATTTGCTTAAATATATTTTTAGCTCCTTGATATAGCTAAGAAGATATGAGATGCCGCTTCAAAGACTTATCACACATTAGAAACTATGCTCAAAGAAATGAATTACGATAGAAAGCTCATAAGACAAAGCAGGGGGATCTAACTATCGCTCAGTATTTTATTGAACTTAGTGAGTTGTGGTAGGAACTCGATTATTACCAGGATTTTCAACCAAAATGTCCTAATGATGCAACTCAAATTCAAAAGTTAATTGAAGTAGAACGTGTGTATGATTTTCTGGCGAGCCTAAATAATGAGAGTAAAATCATATTCATGTTCAAGTTCTTGGAGAGGACCCTTTGCCATCCTTGCAGCAAGCATATCCCTTGTATAATAAGAGGAGACCAGGAGGAGTGCCATGGTTCATAGGTCTACGGTTGATAAAGCAGGGTTGATTGCTAATTCTGCAAGAGAATAAATACATGCTGCGAAGAGTTGCTCTTCAAATAGAGATCAATTATTTTGTGACTATTGTGGTAAGAACAAGCACACTAAGGAGTTTTACTAGAAATTACATGGACGCCCAACTAAGGGATGTGGAGAAAAACATGTAAGTTCTTCTATACCACGAGCACACATATCTGATGGTGGAGCTTTATATGAGGAACCATCTATTACGAGTAGCTTTCCGATAATGAAAGTCAATCCCTAAAACGATTGTTGTCACAGCTTGATTCTTCCTCAATTTAGACTGTAGCTTCTAATTTTGCTAGTTTAGGTAATGCTTTTCTTACTTCCCTTGCGAAAATTGCAAAACCCTCTTGAGTTGTAGATTCAAGAGCAAACAAACATATAACAGGCTCTATAAAACATTTCCTCACATATTCTAAATATCGAGGCACCAATAAAATCTATATTGCGGATGGCTCCTTAGTACTGATTGTTGGCAAAGGTT